CATAGCAAAGTGCCACGTGGCACTGCAGGTGGCCACGTGCACAGGCAGCAGCAGCCACAAGAGGGGGGGGCGGGGGGTAAATAGCAGCCTCTCCCGTTGATGCCTTGCTGGCCGCTGCTCGCTGCTCGGGGGGGGGGGGGGGGGTAAATAGCCAGCACGGCACCTCTTCAACACGAGTGTGCCGTGCTACAAAGCCATAGACACTCTGTGGCGAGTGTGTTATGAGGCTGCTTACGCACGCACATGGCCTGGCAGGCACCTGGGTTCAAACCCCAACGGCAGCAGCTGCATCCCGGATCTTGAAAATAGATATATCCGGGAGCGGGGCGGGGCAGCGGGGCACGTGGCGTGTGCGTGATGCGGCGGCGGCCTTGGCCTTGGCGCTTGTGCGCACGCGTTGTGATGTCACTTCCTTTTTCGCCACGTGGAGCCCTCCTGCTGCTGCGCCTTTTTCCCTCTGTTTTCCGTGGGAAACAATCGAAAAACAACGAAAAATCCCGCTGTCGGAATTTGCTGTTTTCCCCTGTGTGCGGGGTGGTGGGTGGCAGCGGGGACCGTTCCCGCTCCGATACCAATGTAGCGGACCCACTAGGTGTGGTGCTCCGCTATTGGTAGAGATGAAGATGGAGGAAGAAGGGGGGGAGCGAGATGATACAACGCAGCTCCCCACGCAAGACTCTAACGCACGTACTCCAAAATGTGCAAGTTAAGAATGAGGACGAAACAGACAACTGCTGGGGTATACACCAGCGGACTGACTGGACTGGACTGGCTGGTACCGACAGAGGTACCGGCCTGGATTGGACTGGACTGCCCCCGAATAGAACACAGGCCTGTGAGAACAGGCCAAGGGACTGGTCTCACAGGCCAACCAGAGGTCCGCTACATTAGGTCCATTCTTGGACGTCAGCTACAACAACGCAAAAAAGCAGAAAAACCAAAAAATGATTGGGGGGGGGCGTGTACAGCACCTGTAACTGCCTCCTGACTCTCAATTGTGTCGTTTTGAAGTGCGGCTCAAGTCAGGCCGAAGAGGTGACTTGGAAAATTCACCGATTTGCTTGGGCCACACTTGAGCTGCACTTGACGTTTTTGGCGGACGTCGGGAGAGGTGGGAAGTGTAATCAC